GTAGTAGTAGTAGTAGTAGTAGTAGTAGTAGTAGTAGTAGTAGTAGTAGTAGTAGTAGTAGTACGACTGCTTCTATTACTAGTACTAATGCTACTACTTCTGTATTTGCAGTGCCAGTATTTCCACTACTGCGACTACTACCTCTCCCACGACTACTACTACTACTACTACTACTACTACTACTACTTCCACTATTGCTACTGCTACTGCCACTCCTTCTTCTACTGCTACTACTAGTACGAATACGACTACTACTGTTGCGTCTCCTTCTGCTACTACTAGTATCATCACTATTACTACTACTACTACTACTACTACTACTACTACTACTACTACTACTACTACTACTACTACTACTCCTACTCCTACTCCTACTACTACTACGACTACTACTACTACCACTGCTATAACTACTATTATTACTACTGCTACTACTGCTGCTACTGCTACCTGCTATTAATAATGTTACTTACTACCTCCTGCTACTTCTGCTATTACTTCTGCTCTTGCTATTGCTGCTGCTGCTTGCTTGTGCTACTACGGCTTTCACACCCGCTACTTCTAGTACTACCACTATGGCTCCTATTACTACTGCTACTACTTCTTCTACTACTAGTAGAACAACAACTACTACTGCTACTACTGTCACTAATACGATTACTTTTACGACTATAGCTATTATTAGTGCTACTCGTACTACTACTACTGCTGCTACTACTACTTCTATTACTACTAGCCCGAGTACTATTGTTACTACTGCTACTAATACGACTACTACAACTACAACAACAACAACAACTACTACTACTACTACTACTACTACTACTACTACTGCTACTACTACCGCTACTACTGCTACTACTACTCTTGCTATTGTTTTTACCTAACAGCGAAGACTGATAGGTTACTAGTGGGGTCAAAAGAGAGCATCATGACTCCTCAGGGGGGTCGGGGCGGGACCCGGGGCGGGACCCGGCGCGGCTGCCGTCGAAGCCCAAATCGCTTGGGACATCCTCGCGAAATCGCTCTTGGCGCTGCTAGAACTCCATTCCCGGCGTACATTTTGGATGCCCGGAGCCAACTGTAGGCCACTTCGTGCTCTTCGACTTCCCAGAACTCCGTTCCCGGCGTACATTTTGGGTGCACGGAGCCAACTGTAGGCCACTTCGTGGTCTTCGAGTTCCAGAACTTCACCCCCGGCGTACATTTTGGATGCCTGGAGCCAACTGTAGGCCACTTCGTGGTCTTCGAGTTTCCAGAACTCCATTCCCGGGCCACATTTTGGATGCCTGGAGCCAACTGTAGGCCACTTCGTGGTCTTCGAGTTCCCAGAACTTTATTCCCGGCGTACATGTTGGATGCCTGGAGCCAACTGTACGCCACTTCGTTGTCTTCGAGTTCCCAGAACTCCATTCCTGGGCATGATTCTGAATGCCCGGAGCCAACTGTAGGCCACTTCGTGTTCTTCGAGTTCCCAGAACTCCATTCCCGGGCCACATTTTGAATGCTGAGGCAGGCTGATGCTGAGGCTGAGGCAGGCTGAGGATGAGGCAGGCTGAGGCAGAGGCCGAGGCTGAAGGCAGACTGAGGCTGAGGCTGAAGCAGGCTGAGGCTGAGGCTGAGGCAGGCTGAGGCTGAGGCTGAGGCAGGCTGATGCTGAGGCAGGCTGAGGCTGAGGCTGAGGCTGATGCAGGCTGAGGCAGAGGCAGCCTGAGGCTGACGCCGAGGCTGAAGGCAGACTGAGGCTGAGGCTGAAGCAGGCTGAGGCTGAGGCTGAGGCAGGCTGAGGCTGAGGCAGGCTGAGGCTGAGGCTGAGGCAGGCTGAGGCTGAGGCTGTGACTGTGACTGCCCCTGCCACTGCGACTGTCCTTCGCGAGTGCGACTACGACTGCGAGAACAGCAGAATTCTACAACTGGATTCTCATCTGAATCTTAAGGGGAATGCTTCCAGATATGCTCCTACACATCGCTGTTAGGTTGCTTTGCCGGGATATTTTTTCCAACGACTACTACTACTACCACTACGGACGACTATTACTATTTGTACTACACCTACTACTAATACTAATCTTCATATTTCTACTACTGCTCCATCCACTTCGACGACTACTACTGCTAGTAATCTTACGACTACTACTACTACTGCTACTACTACTACTACTACTACTACTACTACTACTACTACTACTACTACTACTACGTACTACTACTACTACTACTACTACACTACTACTACTACTACTACTACTACTACTACTACTACTACTGACTACTACTACTACTACTACTACTACTACTACTACTACTACTACTACTACTACTACTACTACTACTACTACTACTACTACTACTACTACTACTACTACTACTACTACTACTACTACTACTACTACTACTACTACTACTACTACTACTTGCTACTGACTTACGACTAGTACTACTACCACTACTACTACTACTACTACTACCACTACTACTACTACTACTACTACTACTACTACTACTACTACTACTACTACTACTACTACTACTACTACTACTACTACTACTACTACTACTACTACTACTACTACTACTACTACTGCTACTACTCTCATTACTACTACCACTACTACTGCTTCTACTACTACTACTACTGCTGCTAGGAACACCTCTACTAATACTTTTAGTACTACGTCGTATTTCGCCCTACCAGGACAAGAACAACTAATACTACTATCACAATTAGTGCTACTACTAGTAGTACTTCAACCAGGACTAGTACTGGTAGTGCTAGGACGCGGACGTCACGTACAATGACCACGACTACCTTACGACTACCAGTGTTCCACACCCTTGGAAGCCGCTGTGGGAACTCGGCTCAACGCAGCGTTTGTGCTTGTTCCTGCTGGGGAAACACCGGCAACCGTAAGAGCGGGCTCCAGGTTTTTGCTGTGTTCGGTGCTTTGGTGCTGTGTTCCTGTGTTGCTGGGGGGGGGGTCAGCAACCGGGCACCAGTGTGAGTTTTCGCCCCGGTGGCGAAAACGCGACCTGGTGACTTGGGTCCTGGGCACCAGTGTGTGTTTTCGCCTTGTTGCTGCTGCTGCTGCTGCTGTTGCTGCTGCTGCTCTGCTGCTGCTGCTGCTGCTGTTGTTGTTGTTGTTGTTGTTGTTGTTGCTGCTGCTGCTGCTGCTGCTGCTGCTGCTGCTGCTGCTGTTGTTGTTGTTGTTGTTGTTGTTGTTGTTGTTGCTGTTGAAATCAAGAAAGATTATTGTAGATCCCCCCTCGCCGGTGCATGCTATTTTTTCTCAATCAAGGTGTGCCCCTCGACGCTCGAACCCTGTTTTTTGTCAGGGAAAGTCTTGGTGCTCAAACTGTGCCCCTGGCCCCGCGAATTACAGCAATGGCTCCCGCCTGAGACTTCTCCAAATTTACTCAGGACCCCCACTCCTGAGACTTCCTCACAATTTGCTCAGGATCGGTGCTCCCGCTTGTATTTTCCTTGCAATTTAGTCAGGACCCCCGCTCCCATCTGAGACTTCCTAACAATTTACTCAGGAACGGCGCTCCCGCTTGAGACATCCTCGCACTTGAATCAAGACTTCCTCGCAATTTATTCAAGACCCCCGCTCCCGCCAGAGAACCCTCCTGTCTTCCTCCTCCTTTCCCCCTCCTCCTACTCCTCCCTGGGGGAGGAGACGGGGGAGGGGGAGGGAGGGAGGGAGGAGGAAGGAGGGGGGAGGGAGGAGGAGGGAGGAGGGAGGAGGATGGACGAGGGAGGAAAAAGGAGAGGCAGGAGACGGAGGGAGGGAGGGAGGGAGTGGGGAGGAGGGAGGAGGGAGGAGGGAGGAAGGAGAAGGAGGGCGGGAGGAGGGAGGAGGCTCGTATTTCCTCCTGCGTCCCATCGGTCGCCGCGGCCGAGGCCAGAGCTCCCGCCGGGCGGCCCCTGGCGCCGCTCCCGCTGCCACCCGCCCGCGCCCCGCCGTCCTCGGCCCTGGCAGCGCCCGCTGCTCCGCCGTTTGCGGGCCGGTCGCCCGCTTCCGCCGCCGCGCTGCAGGCGCCGCCGTCGCCGCCGCCGCCCGCCGCCTCCGCCGCCGCGGCCGCCGCCGCCGCCGCCGCCGACGTCGTCGTCGTCGTCGTCGTCGTGGCCGTCGTCGTCGTCGTGGCCGTCGTCGTCGTCGTCGTCGTCGTCGCCGCCGTCGCCGTCGCTCGTCGTCGTCGTCCTCTTCGCCGCTGTCGTCATCTTCTCCTGTCGTCTGGCCCTGCAGGCCTCCAGCGGGGTCGCCGCTGCCGCCGACACGTCTCTGCGGCAGGAGGCCGCGTCGGGCGCCGATGGTCGCGGTCGCCGCCGCCGCCGCCTCCGCCTCCGCAGCCGCCGCCGTCGCTGCCGCAGTAGCGGGCGACGCCGTCGCCGCCGTCGCCGTCGTCGCCGTCGCTGCCGCAGTCGCCGTCGGCGTTACCGCCAGAGTCGCCGTCGGGGACCTGGCCTGTCCCCAAAATTTGCGTCTTTTCTTGTACCCGACACGGGCTCGGCGTGGATTCGACGCGGATTCGACATGGATTCGACACGGATCCGACGAGTCCGACATGGATTCGACACAGATTCGACGCGGATAAGGCCGCGACGGGACAGACAAGGTCCCCCGAGGATGCAACATAGGTCGTGCTCATCCTTCTAATGCTCCGGCCCGTCCTTTCTCCTGCTTGCCGAGATCTTCGGACGGAGGTCTCTGTGTAGGCCCTCACATGTTCCATGTGGCATGCGCGGGCCCGAGAAGTCTTTCAGGGGGCCCTCGGTCCTCGATCCTCGATCCTCCATCCGCGATCCTCCGTCCTCGATCGTCGATCCTCGAAAGGCGTCTGAAAGCCTCGATCCTCGATCCCCGCCTCGGTCCTCGGTCCTCCCTTTGGTTCTCCCTCGAGCCTCCTTCTGCAACATACGACAACCGACGATCTCAGGCCTGTGATGTTGATACAGTTGGACCGAGGTCTAAGATCTAGGTCGCCTCGGGGAGGGTACCCTAACGTTCTTCTTGCTCGTTAGATGTTCTTCGTGCTTGTTGGATGTTTTTCGTGTTTGTTGGATGTTCTTCTTGTTTGTTGTGCATCCTTGGGGAGGGAACCCTCGAAGTTTCTTCGGTTTGGGCTGGCGGAGGGTCTCATATTCTTGAAGCTTCTTCTGCAGGCTCGCCGTGTGAGTTCTCGGTGGCCACCACGCCGCCCCGTCATACTGTCCTGCGCACGAACTGCTATGGTAGGGCCTCCTGACTGCGCGATCGCGCACGGGCAAAAAGAAGAGGGCTGCGCGATCGCGCACGGAACGCTTCGTACCGATTGACTGCGCCACTCCACTTCGCGGCACTTGATCTTCGATCTCCCTTGGCCTGTCATCGTTGTCGTCGTCGTCATCGAGAGGGGAAGCCATGGGCAACGCTAGATTTGACAGGCGCGGGGGAGGTTGCATCGACCCCCAACTGCCCACTCATCGCCGACGGGGGCCTGGGCCCGGTAGGCCCACCCCGCCTGGGAGCGCGCGCTGTCGCCGTCGGGGGCCCAATCGCCGACCTGTCGGCGATGCATCGCCGAGCCCAGCTCGATGCCTCCCCCCCCTCCGAGCTGGCCCCCCCCCGAGCCCCCGAGCGTTCCCCCCCCGGTCCTGGGCCCCCCACCGTCGGTGCTCCGCCCTCGGGCCCTCGGGCCCGGAGCCCGGGGCCCGGCTCCTCGAGCCTCGCTCCTCGCGCCTCGCTCAAGGCCTCCTCCCCTCCTCCTCCTCCTCCTCCTCCTCCTCCTCCTCCTCCTCCTCCTCCTCCTCCTCCTCCTCCTCCTGCCGCCCGCGAACATGGCGGAACCGACGGCTCTACGGGGGCTACCCGCAGCAAAGTGTCCCAGTCCCTTCCGCTGCCTCAAGCCAGCCTCCTGTTGAAGCCGGCCCGAGGAATCGGCCCAGGCAGGAAGCGGGGGGGAGGGCAAGCAACCCAAAGATATGGGAACATTTGGGGAATCCTGTCATTTGTGTCTGTTTACTTGTGTGTCCCAGGGCCCCTTCACTCGGGCCGTCTCGGGCGACCAGGGCCCTGGGCTATCGGCGGATGGGGCCCTCGGCTTTCGGCGGATGGCGCCCCTGTTCTCGATTTACGGTCTTCTGACTTCTGTTTCGAGTGTTCCGGCGGGCCGCCCAGCTCGGCCCTTCGCGGGCGGCCAGGGCCTCGAGGGTCTCGCAGCCGTGGGGCGCTGGACCGCAGCGTGAGGTCGTGGGGTTTCCCGAGGTCGCCACGCTGGCCCGCCACCGCACAGTCTTTTGGGCCCCCCGAGCCGGCTCCTCGTGCCTCGCTTCTCGATCTCCAAGCGTTCGCCCTCGAGGCAGGAGGGAGCACCACTCGAAAACGAGGCAACTCCTCCTCCTCGTCCTCCTCCTCCTCCTCCTCCCTCCTCCTCCCTCCTCCTCCTCCTGCGCCTCCTCCTCCTCCCTCCTCCTCCTCCCTCCTCCTCCTCCTCCTCCTCCTCCTCCTCCCCTCCTCCTCCTCCTCCTCCTCCTCCTCCTCCTCCTCCTCCTCCTCCTCCTCCCTCCTCCTCCCCTCCTCCTCCTCCTCCTCCCCCTCCTCCTCCTCCTCCTCCTCCTCCTCCTCGCATGAACTCTTGGAGCTCCGCGCGAATTCCTCGGATCGGCGCTGGCCCCTCCCCCTCGCTCCCTGGCGCGCGGAGCGCGCCCGGGGGCAGCCCCGGAGGCGCCGCCAGGGAGGCCGTGCGCCGATCCTAAGAGAGCTGGCGGAGCTCCAGAAGTCTGTGCTCCTGCCGCCCAGAACAGGGCTCACTTCGATTCGCTCCCATTCGATTCGAGTCGACTTCGATGAGTTCCGATGCCGATTCGATTCGGCTTGGGATTCCGACTTGGGCTCCGATTTCTCGTTGGAGGCCTACTGGCCTGCCGATCTCTGCCGATTCGACTTCTCCCGACTCGGCTGCCGATTTCCGCCGATCTGATTGACTTCGATCGCCGATCCGACTTGTCGAATCGATTCTGAGCTCTCCTGCCATACGTGCGGGCCGCGCGGGCTGACCGCCCAGCTCCACTCTGCGGCACCCGCTCCAGCGGCCCCCCTCCCCTTTCGGAGGCCCAGGGCGAGCTGCGGGAGCTCGCGGGCCTCGCGGCGGCCCTGCAGGCGCAGCGCCTCGCCACGCGCGCCCTCGAGCAGGAGGTGCTGCAGCAGCGCGAGGAGCGGTCTTCGTCGCCGCCTGCCGCCGCCTGCCGCCGCCGCCGCCGACGCCAAGGAGGAGGAGGAGGAAGAGGAGGAGGAGGAGGAGGAGGAGGAGGAGAAGAAGGAGGATGAGGAGGCAGGAGGAGGAGGAGGAGGAGGAGGAGGAGGAGGAGAGGAAGGAGGGAGGAGGAGGGAGGAGGAGGGAGGAGGAGGAAGAGGAGGCTGCAGAAAGGCGGAATGATTTTGGAGGGATGGAAGGGAGGGAGGGAGGGAGGAGGGAGGAGGGGAAGAGGAAGGGAGGAGGCTCCCTCCCTGCTCCCCCCTTCCCTCCTCCCTACTCCCTCCTCCTCCTCCTCCTCCTCCTCCTCCTCCGCCCTCCTCCGTCCTCCTGGCTCCTCCTCCGTCCTTCCTCCTCACGCCTCCGTCCTCCTGGCTCCTCCTCCGTCCTTCCTCCTCACGCCGTGCTCACTCCTTCCTTCTCCCCCTCGCTGCCACCACCGCCTGCGAACTGGGCAGGAGGCGGCGGCCTGCCAGCGCGAGGCGCAGCGGCTGGAGAGCCCGAGGTCGCCGCAGGTGCGACGGGCGGCGCTGCTGCGGCTGCGGTCCGCCTCCGCCAACACGCAGGCGATCCTCGCCGCCGCCCTTCGCCTCCTCCTCCTCCTCCTCCTCCAATCTCGTGCTTCCTCGTCGCTCCTCCTTCCTCGCTCTCCCTCCTGGCTCCTCGTGCCTCGCTCCTCGCGCCCTCTTTCCTTTCCTCCTCCCTCGTCCCTCCCTCCTTCCCCTCCCCCTCCTCGCCGCCCCTTCCCTTCCACTCCTGCTGCACCTTTCCCCCCCCCTGTCGCTCTGTCGCTGTTGTTGGTCCTCCTGCTTCTCCGTCGAGGCGCTCGCGGTCGGGCGTTTGCCTGTCGCCATCTTGTGTCGGTCAACCAGTCTGCCACCCTTCTAGGATCGCCTTTTCTGGCGAAGTTCAGGCGACGCCAGCTATGAAGCTGTGCACGGACGCTGATGTTGGCCAGGCCAATCTCGTGCGCAGGGTCGGTCTCCTTTTTGGCTGGACCAGGAGGGCGTGCCCACCGATACCAGGGCCAGGGTTGACCCAGCCAGGATCGGTGTGGGCGGATCGGTGGATTCCTCTAGAGAGAGAGAGAGAGAGACACATAATGAGAGAGAGAGAGAGACATAGAGATACATTATTAACGCGCACATCTATACATACATGTGTACAATTCGGCACACACACATATATGTAGATATGTATATGTATATGTTTATGTGTGTACATATATACATATATACATATATATATAATATGGTACATAATATATATATATAATATATATATATATATATATATATATATCGGAGTAGGCCGGGGGGGGGGCCCGGGCCGGTGCCATCATCCCCCATGGGCGCCCCCAGGAACCTTTGGGGGGTCACAGACCCGCTGGGACTGCCCCGTGCCGCTTCCAAATTGCCCACGACAGGCCACGCGGGCCGTACAGATGGTCAAGAAAGCCTCCAAAGGCCCCGAAGTCGCCCAAGAGCGCCCCAAGAGGGCCCGAGATGGCTTGAAGATGGCCGACGAGGCCCCAAGAGGGCCTTTAGGAGGCAAAAACTGGCCCATTCCCCTTCGTAAAACGTGCATTTACAGCATACTCGCTTGCTTCGTCTTCACAGTGCCCCAGACGCCCCTGCGGAGCCCCAACACAGCCCAAGAGAGACCCAAGAGGGCCCCAGACAGCCCGAAAGGGTCGTCCCGTGGGGCTCACGGACCCCCCCAAGACGGCCCAAGAAGCGCCAAAGCCGGCCCAGGAGGCCCCCAAGACGGCCTCAGGGAGGCCCAAGAGGGCCTCGTTCGACATCATGTTCCCGGAAGCCTCTCCGGGAACATGATTTCTGGGTTCCGAGGACGCCCAAGAGGCCCACAAGACAGCCTCAGCGAGGCCCAAGAGGGCCCGAGATGGCTTGAAAATGGCCGAAGAGGCCCCAAGAGGGCTTTCAAGAGGCAAAAACCGGCCCATTCCCCACGTAAAACGTGCATTTTCAGCATACTCGCTTGCTTCGTCTTCACAGTGCCCCAGACGCCCCCGCGGAGCCCCAACACAGCCCAAGAGAGACCCAAGAGAGGCCCCAGACGGCCCGAACGGGTCGTCCTGTGGGGCTGACGGAACCCCCCAAGACGGCCCAAGAAGCGCCAAAGCTGGCCCAGGAGGCCCCCAAGACGGCCTCAGGGAGGCCCAAGAGGGCCTCGTTCGACATCATGTTTCCCGAAGCCTCTTCGGGAACATGATTTCCGGGCTCCCAGGACGCCCAAGAGGCCCACAAGACAGCCTCAGCGAGGCCCAAGAGGGCCCGACATGGCTTGAAGATGGCCGAAGAGGGGCCCAAGAGGGCCCGAGATGGCTTGAAGATGGCCGAAGAGGGCCCCAAGAGGGCCTTCAAGAGGCAAAATCGGCCCATTCCCCACGTAAAACGTACATTTTCAGCATGCTCGCTTGCGTCGTCTTCAGAGTGCCCCAGACGCCCCCGCGGAGCCCCAAGACAGCCCAAGAGAGACCCAAGAAGGCCCCAGACGGCCCGAAAGGGTCGTCCCGTGGGGCTCACAGAACCCCCCAAGACGGCCCAAGAAGCGCCAAAGCCGGCCCAGGAGGCCCCCAAGACGGCCTCAGGGAGGCCCAAGAGGGCCTCGTTCGACATCATGTTCCCGGAAGCCTCTCCGGGAACATGATTTCTGGGTTCCGAGGACGCCCAAGAGGCCCACAAGACAGCCTCAGCGAGGCCCAAGAGGGCCCGAGATGGCTTGAAGATGGTCGAAGAGGGCCCCACGAGGGCCTTGACGAGGCAAGAGGCAAAAATCAGCCCATTCCCAATGTAAAACGTGCATTTACGGCATACTCGCTTGCATCGTCTTCACAGTGCCCCAGACGCCCCCGCGGAGCCCCGAGACAGCCCAAGAGAGACTCAAGAGGGCCCCAGACGGCCCGAACGGGTCGTCCTGTGGGGCTGACGGAACCCCCCAAGACGGCCCAAGAAGCGCCAAAGCCGGCCCAGGAGGCCCCCAAGACGGCCTCCAGGAGGCCCAAGAGGGCCTCGTTCGACATCATGTTCCTGGAAGCCTCTCCGGGAACATGATTTCCGGGTTCCCAGGACGCCCAAAGACAGCCCCCATAGGTCCCGGACATGCCGAAGATGGCCTCAGGACGGCCGACGACGCCGCCAAAACGCCCCAAAAGCGCCTCCAGAGGCCCCTCCAAAGGGCCCCAGAACCCGAAAATTATAAATTATCCGATGGTTTTTGAAGCATTCTTGCGCTCTCCCATGTTCTGCCTTCCCACTGTCCCGGACCGCGTCAGAGGCCCTTCAGATCGCTCCAAGACGGCCGAAGAGGCTCGAAAGCCCAGAGACAGCCCAGGAGGCTCCCCAGATAAGTCAACAGGGCCTCGAGAGCGCCCCAAGAGAGCCCCAAGAGCGACTCAAAGGGCCCGAAGAGCGTGACATTTCAAGGTCTCCAGCCTGAGAGGCTCCTAGGACGCCCCGGAAGCCATCAAGAGGCTCCCAAGAAGCCCCGTGAGGCTCCCAGCAGGCCCCCCGGAAGCCCCAGTAGTCCCCCAAGGGGCCCCCAGGGAAGCCACCTGCGGGCCCCCAAGACACTTCGTTTAATTGTATTTCCCAGATAGCGCTCCGGGAACATGATTCCTTGGGCTTCCGCCCACCGCCCCAACTATGCTTCCAATAGGCTTGCCGACAAGGCCAAAAGGGGCCCCTCGGTAAGCCCCCAGAGGCCCTTCTTAGAGAGCCGAACAAGTCATGCTCCCGGAAAGCTTCCGGGGAACATGATTCTCTATCTCGGAGTAGGCCGGGGGGGGGGCGGGCCGCTGCTTGTTCCCCCCATCGGTGCCCACCGGGGGTTGGGGGGGGTCCAGAGCTCCCGAGGCGGCCCGAGCCCGCCCCGAAGCAGGCCACGGCATGCTAAGGGGGGGGTCCGGGGAGGGCCCAAGACGGTCCCACGAGGCCCCGAAGACGCCCAAGATGCCCTCAAGACAGCCGAGGAGGACTCTAACACGCTCCAGGACGGACTCAAGAGGCTCCCCAAGAGGGCCCTGGAAGGCAAGATTCACTCGGTTTCCGAGCGTTTTGGATTCAGGCGTTCTCGTTTTCCCCGCTTTCCAGCGCTCCCTTCACGGCCTCGGAGACCCTTCAGATCGCTCCAAGAAGGCCCTCGAGGCCCCGACGAGGGCCCCAAGACGGCCCAGGATGCTCCCCAGACAACCCAAGTGTGCCCCAAGAGCGTGCCAAGAGAAGGCCCAGAGGGGTCCCGAGGCGGCCCGGGCCCGCCCCGAAGCAGGCCACGACAGGCTAATGGAGGTCCCGAGAGGGCCCTAGACGGTCCCAAGAGGCTCCGAAGACGCCCAAGCTGCCCTCAAGACGGCCGACGAGGACTCCAACACGCTCCAGGAAGGACTCAAGAGGCTCCCCAAGAGGGCCCTTGGAGGCAAGATTTACAATTTTTCCGATGGTTTTTCAAGGATTTAGGCGTTCTCCTTCACGGCCTCGCTCGGAGGCCGTTCAGATCGCTCCAAGACGGGCCACGAGGCCCCGAAGAGGGCCCCAAGACAG